TGTGCGGCCTGGCACGTCCTCCCCAGCTGTCCCCCGACCCGTGTGCGGCCTGGCACGTCCTCCCCAGCTGTGCCCCGACCCGTGTGCGGCCTGGCGTGTCCGCCCCAGGCGTGCCCCGGCCCGTGTGCGGCCTAGCTTGGGCTGGGCACAGGTGTCCTCCAGCCCCCCAGGTGGCCTTGTTCCCTAGACAATGAGGAGATTGGCTCCATGGAGGCCGTCACTGCCTCTGTCACACACCTGCGAGTGGGGGTAGGGATCAAACCCACTCCAGCGCCTCCCGCCCACCAGGGACCCCCGCCCTCTGACACGCACGCTTGCCCCACACGGTGGCATCCGGGGCAGAGGTGCAGGTCCTGTTGGGGGTGAGCACCAGCCATTGGCATGGCAGGTCCCCCTCCAGAGAGGAGGAGGGGGTGGGGTTGGTGTGACCCAGTGGCCGGGGTCTGCCTCACCTGCCCTGGGGTTGGACAGCAGGGACAGATGCCCTTTGGTGACAGTGCTGGGGAGCGTGTTCTGTGCCCCGTCCCTACCTGCCGTGCCCTGGGCACCCCCCAGCCAGGCAGGTGCTGTCCCCGCTGGCAGCAGGGTTTGGGGGCAGGTCCCAGTCAGAAAGCTCTCAGATGCCCTTCCCATCCTGTGCGGCCAGGAAGCCCTGGGTCTGCTCGGGGTGGGTGGGGTGAGCGCTGTCGCTGGTCCCGGGAGGGGCCCGTGGTGATGCGCGCTCTCACCTTTCAGTACAAGGTCCTCTCCGTCCTCCCGGGGTCGGGCATGGGGATCGCAGTGTCCACACCCTCGACCCAGAAGGTAAGGGCTGGCAGGGCCTGGGGGCTGGGGCGGGCAGGTGCAAGGCTTGGGGCAGGGTCTGGGGGTGCTGGGCGGGTGCAGGGCTTGGGGTGGCGTCTGGGGGCGCTGGGCGGGTGCAGGGCTTGAGGTGGGGTCTGGGGGCGCTGGGAGGGTGCAGGACCTGGAGGGGGCCTGGGTGGATGCAGGGCTTGGGGAGCAGTCTCGGGGGGACAGGCAGGTGCAGGGCTTGGGGCACGGTCCTGGGGGGGGTGGCCGGGTGGGCACAGGACATGGGCAGGGGTCTGAGGCCTCCCCATGGCAGCAGGCACCTGCTGTGCCCTCAGGAGTCTGGGGCCGGGAGACTTGCCCTTTTGGGGGCTGTGGAATCAGCTCCTCTGGAAGAGGAAGAAGGTGGGGCTGCTTCTCGGTGGGCGTGGTCTGCCCTTTGGCCCCTGGCCCCTGTGCTGATGGAGGCAGGTGGGCCTGCTGTGCTGGTCTGGGGGCCCAGGTGACGGATGGCTCACCAGGTCCCCCTCCCGCTAGCCGCTGGTGTTCGGGGCCATGGTGCACCGCGACGAGGCGTTCGAGGCCATCTTCAGCCAGTACATGAAGATCACGTCGGCGGCAGCTGCGGGCGGGGACAGCTAGTACCAGCTCTAGGTGCTGCTGGGATTTTCCTTGAACCGTGTGGTAGTGGAAACAATTGGACATCCTCATGATCTTTTGCAATAACCCCTGGACTGTGGTTTCTGTTGTGCCGGCCCCAAATCACAGACGCCTCCCAGCGGGGCTGGGGTCTGCCGGACGGTGCCGCTGCCACCGGGTCCTGAAGCACTTTTTATGCACATTTGGGACATGGAGGCGGAGGGTCCCTCAGAGGCCCGCGTGAAGGAGGACAGCAGGACACCCGTCCCTGCCGTGACCACGCCCAGCTCCTCCTGGTTCTGGCCATCCGATGCGGCTCCTGAACAGGGAAGCTCCCCATGCCATAGGTGAGGCACAGGGTGTGTTCCCACCTGTGAGGTGGAAGGTGAATGAGAGGTCAGGGACCACGGAGGAAAAGGGGCTGGCCGGTCTTGCCGCTCCCTCAGCGCGACCAGCTGTGTTTGTCTTGGGAGTGGTGGGGCTGGGGAAGGCGCAGCTCCATCCGCTGACCGGGTCTCACCCTGGGCATGCCACCCTGGGATGGGCGCTCAGTGGGCTGGACGCTCGGCGGGCCGGTGGGAGGGAGCGTCTGGTTCTCACGCCGGGCGGGACTCGCCGCAGTATGGCAAAAAGCACATCTTGTGACACTCGCTTCTCTGGAGAGGCCGGGGGAGCGCCAACCCAGCCTTCCGGCACATGGAGGAGAAGTCACCCCAGCTGACCGCAGCTCTGGGGTGGGTTCCAATCCGTGTAAGAGTGGGGAGGGTGCTGAGATGGGGGGACGAGGGCGGACAGGAGCCCCGGGGCCCGTGGTGCCGGTCATCTTGGGAGGTCGCTGCCTGAGGCCCAGAGGGTGGGGGCCGGGGCTTCCCTCCCCCGACATCCACCAGTAGTGTGCGCCTGGGCTGAGCCCTCGCCCCCACCGGGAAACAGCCTCCCATGACCCCCACACCCCGGAAAAAGGCAGCCGATGGGGGGCCGCGGCGCGGCTCCGGGCCAAGTTTATTCCGAGACCCCTGCACCTGGTTTGGACACGAGGAGAAGGCCATTTGGAGGCTTTGGGACAGGCGGGCGGCCTCTCTGGAGAAGGGGTGGGCAGGGATGCAGGCGCGGCCAGCGGAGCAGTGACTCCTCGGCCCGCTGGCGCGTCCCCTGTCCGGAGCCTCCCATGAGGGCGCTGTTTTTTGAAGAAACAGAAGATTATATTTTTTACAGAGAGCAAGCTGTTTTTCTTATTTTTGTATCATTTTTCAAATGTAATTTTTACCTTTCCTCCGACCCTCATTTGCTGGCTTGAGGAGGAATCTGGTGGTGGCCCGTTGACCCCCTTACATGTGCGCTGACCCCCTTACACTGGTCTCGCAGCTGGTTCTGGGGAGCGCTTTGGGGGGGTGACACTGGCCAGCCAGGGGAAGCACATGCCCCATCCCGACGTGTCACCGAGGCCGCGGGGCGGGGGGAAGCTGACAGGCAGTCGGTTTCATCCTGCACTGTCACTGCTAGGGGAGGAGGGCGGGTGGGCAGACTGCAACCCTGGCTTGGCCCCGACCGTGAATGCACGTGGAAGCCTTGGGGGCACCTGGGATCACACCCAGGAGGACCCCCACGGTGCCTGAGGTGCAGCAGGGTGGCCCTGAACTGGCCCAGGGATGGCTGCACAGGGACCCCGGTCCTGGTCACATCCCTTCCACAGGCCTGGCGGCAGCAGCGTGGGGGCCGAGGGCCGCAGGGGCTGAGGGCCACCCCGCCAAGCGCTTCTGTTTAACAGCAGGAGTTGTGTCTCCGGGCACAGGCAGGGGTGTGGGGCGTGCACTGTGGAAAGGCTTTAACTCTTGCGCAGAAGTGGGTGGATTAGTCGGAGTCCCTTCTGAGAAGAAAGGGCAATGAAACTGACCACTCCCGGGGAGACCACGGCCCAGCACGTGGCCTTAGCAGTGGGGGGGACGGGCCGAGCCAGCACTGGAAGCCCGTGAAGGCGGGCGGCCTTTGCGGGGGCAGACGCGGCCCTGTGTGGCCCCCAGGCGCCTGCGGGAGAGAGGGCCCGGGCACCGTTAATGGAATTGTGTAAATCTGGGCCGATATTTAATTTCTACAGCTAATCGTTGAGCTAGAATGAATGTTGACTTTTTTACGTCTGCAGCTTGAGTCTATTTTGGATCTGTAAATAATCGTCACCCGTGTACTTTTGTTCAACAAAAGGATCGTACTGTATGAGCAACCAATGGAAACAATTCCCCTGTAACATTTTTTTAAAACCTTGTTTGTTTAAAGAAAAAGCCTTGTATAAATTATAATTTTTATTTAAATAAACCTGAAATGCTTTGTGCTAACGCATGTGGCTTAAGTGGGGCGGGGGAGGGGGGCGGCGGGGACATGGGCGGCCAGAGGAAGGTGCTGGATTGTGGGTGTGGAGAGGCGGGGAGCGGGGTGCCCAGAGTTCCAGAAGATTGCCCATGGGGGAGCCAGGTGGCAAGGGGGAGGCCGACGGCGGGGAGCCATCCAGGGTCAGCACAGGGAGGGGTGGGGAGTGGGGCTGTCACCTTAGGGGCAGGCAGAGACAGGCAGAAGCAGCACCTTGAGTTGGGGGGGCAGGTCCTGGCCCTCCGCAAAGGTGGCATCCTGCCTTCCTGGGGGACGTGAGCATCTGGGGGACCAGGCACTGCCCAGGCCCGACTGACCAACCCTGTGTCATTCTCTTTTCCGGCAGGGGAGCCCAGTGGCTGTGACCTCTAGTGCGTCAGCCTCCCCTCCCCCCGAAGTCCACGGTCTGGGCGGTGGGAGGTTTCAGGGACCTGGGCACAGGTGCCCCCAGCAGCCCTCTGGCTCAGCCACTCCAGACTGGCACTGGGCACGGTAGGGTGCAGGAACTCGCCCAACTCTGAAACTGCCTCAGTGATGCACCGACCTCGGCCAGGGCCTCTGTGGCTCCCAGCTGCCCACGGCTCCAAGCCCTGGTTCCTCAGAGCGAGGTGGAGGCAGGGCGGGAACCAAGTCTTGTGGGTCAGCTCCGCTTTCACAGGCCTGGCCTCGTGAAGTTGAGTATTTGCATACTCTATCCATCCACTTACCCAGCCATCCACCCCTTCATCCATCCCCTAATCCATCCATCTGTATCTCCATCCATCCGTCCGTCCTCCACCCATCTGTATCTCCATTTATCCACATCCATTCTTTTCCATCCATCCATTCATATCTCCATTCCTCCCTCCATCCATCCGTATTTCTACCCATCCATCCATCCATCCATCCATCCATATCTCCATCCATCCATCCATCCGTATCTCCATCCATCCATCCCTCCCTCCCTCCCTCCCTC